GTTTCATTACCAAACCTGAACACTGCTCTGAGTTTAATTTTAAAATCTGTGCTTTTACATTTTGAGTATTATATATGTAATTAAAAGCAACTTCCCGGCCTTTTTCTTTAAAAATCTTTTTGTCTGGTTTATTTCGCTCATAATCTTTCTGAGAATCATTCAAGTTGCTACACATGTCAACAGTTCATCCTGGGGCTGTATTCTATTGTGTGGAAATACTACAATTTTTATCTATTCAACTACTGATGGACATTTGGGTTGTTCCAGTTTGAGACTGTTACAAATAAAGCTATCAACAAGGCTTTGTATGGACAAATGCTTTCATTTCTCTTGGGTAAATATCTAGGAGTGGAATGACTGAGTCTAAGGTAGGTACATGTTTAGCTTTTTATGAAATTGCCAAACTGCTTTCTAAACTGGTTGTACCATTTTGCATTCTTGCCAGCAGTGTATGAAAGTTCCATTTGCTCTACAACTTCACCAACACTTGACATGATAAGTATTTTAATTTTAAACATACTAATGGATGTGAGGTGGTATCTCATAGTTTTATTTTACATTTCCCTAATGACCAATAATATTGAGCATCTTTTCATGTGCTAATTTGCCATCCGTATATCTTCCTTGGTGGAGTGTTCAAATCTTTTGCCTATTTTTTATTAGGTTATTTTCTTATTGCGTCTTGTTACTAGCCACTTTTTAAAAATCAAGTTTTTTAGTCTATGGCCATGCTACCCTGAACAAGTCCGATCCCGTCTGAGCTCGGAAGCTAAGCAGGGTCAGGCCCGGTTAGTACTTGGATAGGAGACTACCTAGGAAGACCAGGTGCTGTAGGTATAAAAAATTAAAAAATAAAGGATTGTAAGCTGATAAGGTCCTTGCAATCTGTGAGGTCAACCAAGGGTTGCCCCGTCTAAAAAATAAATAAAAATTTAAAAAATAAAATAAAGTTTTTTTTCCCAATGACTAAGCAGTCTTATTTAAAATTAGAAAGCATTACTACTGAACTATATACTTAAAAATGGTTAAGATGATTAAAAAAGAGACTGATCCCACAAACAAAAGGATGAGAACGTATTTCATCATAAAAGCACAAAATTTATGAAACAGATTTCTTTGTTCAATTTGAAACTTGAAATAATCCTAATTGTGCAGAGAAAAATCACTAAGACATGAAAGAAAAAAAAATCAATGACCACAACCACAAACTCTAACCTCAGAGCTGAGCAACATAAAACACTCCTTCATCTTTATGTTCAGCTGACAGAGTTTCTGTGCTGTCCAACGCAGCAGCCACAACCACATGTGACTCTTAGAGTCCTTGAAATGTGGCTGGTCCAAGCTAAAATGTGCTATAAACTACACATTGGATTTCAAAGACTTAGGATGATAAAACGAATGTAAAGATTTCATTAATAATGTATATACTGATTATATGTTGAAGTGATATTCTGGATAATTTAGATGAAATAAAATATAAAGTTATTTTCACCTGTTCCTTTTCACCTTTTTAAAAAGTGGTTACTATAAAATTTAAAATTATATATGTTGCTTATATTTCTATTGGATAGCACTGATCAAAGACACTTAAAGCAAGAGCCTGAAAATAATATATTACCAACCAGTAAGGAAAAATATATAAACGTTTTCCCTCCTTATTCCTCTGAGGTGTGAAAAAATGGTACAATGGAAGGGGCTTACACTTGGAACTCAGGAGTTGTCTTAAGTTTGAGCCATAGCTCTGTTACTATCTGGTCTATTAATTCGGCTTCCCTGGATTTCAGTTTCCTCACCAGTTTTTTGTTTTTTAATTCAAAAAGTCAACAAAAATGGATTATCCTCCTACTTTTTACAAAACATTATTCCAGTATTACAGAGCTTGAGCTTCTGGTTTAATAGGTGGTGCAATCCGAAAATACTAACAACCATTATATAAGACAAAATAAAAAGAGCCCAAAAGAGACTAAGCCCCTGTGATTGTGTGGCATGTGCATGCTGTATGCATGTGTTTTAAAGGAGAAAAAGCACCCTGAAGGTTAAGTCCAAGAACGTAACCTTCCTAACTCTAAAATTCTGTGCTCTTAAAAAGCATTCATCATGCTATAGTAAGCATTATGTTGTAGCTTAGTGATACATAATGTTTGTTCAAGTCCCCTCCATCAGCATGACATAGTAAGTAAATGATATGCCATGAGGTTCTTTATTTGAATAATTCCACAGTACAGTTCAACTTAACCACGACCTAGCTTCTATCTCCAGAAAGTAAGAGATTTTTTAAAAAGGTAACCTTCTGTGACGTGCATGCACACGGATCAGAAAAGTGGTTTACTCTTTAGCAGAAACTAATTAATAAGTTAGGCTAGAATCCTGAGAGACTAACTATAAAACTCTTTCTGACACCACAAAAACCACCACATAAAACACACGCCTTCAAGGGTGATTTACCGAAACAAAACATACACATGCTGTTATTTCAGTGGTACTTCTATAATCTAGATGTGCATTACAACTACTGTATTTAGGTCATAAACTCACAAAAGTCCATCCTGAAAGTAAATTTATAAACAACTATGTCATGTGATATAAAGTGAACTTATATAAGTAAACTCAACTCTATATACAAAGATTCTCTTGATTACAGCATTCCTTGGAAGCAGACTATCGCCATTTTAAGGGTAAGAAAACTGAGGCACAGGTACAGAATTTACCGGTCTTTTTTGAGATAGGAAAATTTAATAGCATAAAATATGTTAGGAAATGCATTCTACAATTTTGTATTAAAAAAAAAAAAAAAAAAGGCCCAGCCCACAATTCATCCAGCCCAGGATTCTTATCTGTTAATGACGAGAAAATGTTTTATGGGAGAATGCAATTGTTCTTCCTGCTATCAGGAACAAAACTTCAGGGGTGTACTCCAAATTATTCCAGTTTTCTTTAGTAACTACTAAATAGCTGTCAATGTGATCTAAATCTTTTAAAAGCTTGTTCTTAATCTTAGTCTGGTATTCTACTTCAGGGGTCACAATTTCCCCATGCTTCCTAAAAGCTATGATTAGAGATTTGTCCCAAATGTAGTTTAAGGAATAATTTAAGGCATATTCTCTAGCTGTATTCCAGAATTTGGTGGAAAAGTTCATCCAAACCCTTCATTTAAGAGTTTTCAGTAATAGCCCATCCACACATTTTTTTTTTCCTGAAGATGACCTAAAACAACGGTCCCCAACCTTTTGGGCACCGAGGACCAGTGCTCCTATAAGAATCTAATGCCTGCTGATCTGAGGTGGAGCTGAGGCACTGGAGAGGGGCTGCAAATACAGAAGATGATTCTCTCACTTGCCTGCCACTCACTCAACTCTTGCTGTGCCCCCTCGTTCCTGACAGGCCACAGACCAGCACCAGTCCACTGCCTGGGGGTTGGAGACCCCTGACCTAAAGGCAAGCAGTAAGGTACAGGAGAAAGACTGGACTTGAAGGTGGACGATTTCTCCCTAGTCTCCGTTCAGCCTCTTATTCCTTGTAGACCTGAACAAGTCACTGAATCTCACTGAACCCTGAGGGCTCATTAAAAATGAAAAAGTTAGACAAGGTGTTCTGGAAGTTCTCATTCAGATCTGAATGATATCTGAATGTTTTAACTGTTCTCCAGCAGCTTGATCATTTTAGACACCCTTTTCTGGTCCTTCTCCAACACTATTATGTGTTTCTTAGTTGAAGGATTTACAATAGTATACTGTGTCCCCAAAAAAAGTTCATGATGACTTTATTCAATAGTAGGATTTTTATTCTGAATCTCAAGCTACTTTTAACATCAAAGATTTATCCCAGAGATATAGGGGATTGGGTAATGGATGGGATGTGGATGGGACAGGCTTAGCCATAAGGTGAATTGTTGAGGAGGGATGATGGATATCTACTGGTTCACTATTCTACTTTGTATGTCTGAAATGCTCCATAACCAAAGTTGAAAAAAAAAACCAAAACGACTTCACTGTCAAAGTGAGAAAAGAATACAGAATTGGTATTATTTCAGGGCTCTTTTCTACACAGCCCTTGGCATAAGAATAATTGCTTTTCACACCATTTCCCTTGGGTTGAGATAGAATCTACAAGACATGAAACTAAGCAGAGCTACTCAAAGTTCGGCCTAAATTAAGGAAAATGAACCAGAAAGGAAATTCTTCAACTGATCTGAAGGTTATCATTAAGATGATCCATATCATTAAGATGATCCATACGGCCGGGGGGTGGGGGGGGTGGAGGAGTGCGGGGCGATAATGAGAAGTGACAGGCACTGACATCTAGAACAGCATGGAACTACTTCCACTGAGCTATGCTGTTTCCTACGGCATGTTTTCCTTAACTTTTCAATTCCAGCAGTTAAAGCCCTATGTGAAACGGAAAGCGAGGAAATAAACAAGACTCTAGTAAGAGGATGCCTCGCAGAGCGTGAAATCAATAGGAAAGGCACGGAATTTCGGGAGAGAAGAAATCCTAGAGAAAGAAAAGAATGAGGCTCCTTTGGAGAACGAGAAGAGAAAACGCATCCCAGGGAAACCAAAAGACATAAGAAAAGAAATTAGAGGTGAAGGCGCTTCCTCGTGATGTCTAATACCCCTTCAGCCCTCATGAGCTGCATTCCTTGGCTCTAGAGACGGGAGGGCTGCAGAGACCCTAGGATTTGGGAAGATCGAGGAGTCCATCTCTAGAGGGGCCGGCCAGAGCCGGGAAGCGGGGACGGGGACCGGCGCCGCGCTGGGGTACCAGGCTCCCGGCACTGCGGCGGCGGGAGGGGCGAGGACTGTTCCACTGCGGCCGAGGGGGCGGAACTGCCGGGCAACCCCAGGAAGCAGCAATGGTGTCTCCTGACGCCGACACGGCGTAGGGAGGGCGTCCCCGGACCGCAGGCCTTTCGCTGGGCGCCTGGCCCCGACCCCGCGCCCCGCTCCCGGCTCTCTTGAGGCCTGTAACCTTCAAGAAGGGGTCGACTCGGGCATACTCACCGACCGCGAAACTCCAGGGCTCCAGATCCCTCCGGTGCTGGTCCCTCCCGTCCTGGCCCGCCGCCTCCAGCCGAGGCGTGCGTAAGGACGTGCGCGCGCCCGCCCTTTGTCTACGCCGCTTTGACGTGACCCCTCGCGTCCCATCCCCACCCCTCCCGCCGTGTAATCTCAGGCCCCGCACTCTCGCTCCGGGCGCGCGCCGGGCTGGGCGCGAGCCCCGAGGGGCGAGGCGGAGTGGGGAGGCGGCGTAGCGGCAGCTGCCGCGGCTGGGCGCGCGGGGAACCGTCGTGTCGCCCCTCGGTAGGCCTGGCGTTGCAGAGACTGGAACTGCGCATCTTTGGCCCTAGTTGCCTCTTCTTCGTGGCACGTGGCCCTGGGATTCCGGCTTTGCTAAAGGGAGCTCTTCCTAAGGAGGAGTCTCCACGTTTCTGAGCTGAACCAGGGCCCGAATACTGGCTACTCCCCATAGGTTTTGGAGAGCGTGAAATCAGCCCTTATTAGCGAGAAGAAGCTTAAGTCACTAAATTACCTGTCATCTTGGGGATGTTGTGACTGTGCACTGAAATGCAATTCTGCATGTAAACTCATCCACCACCACCATGATCTGAGTCCAAAGAGTTGGTTTACACAATCTCTGTGTTCCCTCGAAGCTGCAGCTTTACAACATCTTCCTCAATTTGGAACCAATCTCTCCACTAAACTCTCTCTGGTGCTTGCTGGAGTTTCCATGTGAATTTCTCACCATCTCTTCCAACTTCAAACGCCTATCCCAAGCTTATAGGTACTTCTTTAAAACAAAATCAGCCCTTCTTCTTGTTACTAAAGGACATTTTTTGTCACCAGTACCAAGCCCTATCCCCCTAGTTTATTTACATACTGTTGTGAGATTGCCATTCCATGTTAAATACTCTGATAAATTTTGAGGGTAAAGTCTACATTCTTAGATCTCAAAATCTGACTGTAAGAATGATGGCTGTACTCCAAAACACTGGACCACTCATTCCACGCTAAATGTTACCACACCTATTTGGGACTTAACCACATGTACATGAATTCCATTTATCCATCAGTTTAACAAACCTTCAAGCCTTTAATGTGTGGCTAGTTTCTACCAAGGTCTCAATGACACAAAGTTGAATAATGAGTGTATGGGTACGTCTAATCTTGATCTAGATTAAATTCCATAAATGTAGAAATTGGACATCATATATTTTTGTATAGGGATGGTTTTTAAACTGGCTACCACCATCTTAAATGTTCTTTGGGTTCTTAAATCTGGTCTTTTTTTTCCTGCTCCATAACCAGTGGAAACTTAGTAGTAGTTCATCATCTGCTCTTTTGTCCTTGTATATTCATGTTTACATTTTTTTCACAATTTTTAGCATAGATTACAGTTCTTTGGATATAATAATTTTGAAATTAATAATTATTTCACATGTATTAGAAACTCAGCAAAAATAATGTGGGTTCTTTGCCCAACCAAATAGTATGCTCAGTTGTGGGGAACATACACACACACACACACACACACACACACACACACAGTATGCATGCATTCACTAGCACATTCTCTAAACTTTAGTACAGGAAGGCAAACTTCCCTCTGAAGAGTAAGCCAATGAGAACTGGGTTAGTATAGTTCCCTTAGACTCCCAAGTTTTATTTGCAAAGATCAATGATCTGGGCGATCTCTGTCATATTCCTTCAAAGGCACGAATAATTTAAATAGGAGAGAAAATAAGTTAGACACAAAGTAGGTTTATCTATAAAGAAGGCCTACTGCCTATAGCATAATGAGGCTTACAACCTACACCAAATTCTTGTCACTGTGAACTTGGACTGTCTTTAGATTATTGTTGAAGGTATTTTCACATTCTGGAATAAAAATATTCGTGTACTACAAAAACTATGTGAATAATTTTTAAAGCCCAATGAAGGATGGTCCCTTTAGAGAAGGGGATCACAGTGTTTAAGGCCTCAGTAAAAGGTTTATTTAACAACACCATCTCATCCTAACTTTGAGTTCATTTCCCAAAATGTACCTCTGCAATCATTGTGTTTGCTGTGTATGTGGCACACAGTGCCATGAACCTGGAAAGAGATTCCTTTAAATCCACTCCTTTCCCCAATAGAATATTATCACAAATATGCTGTATAACTTCTTTCCCTTCCATACATCACCTTTTACATACACAAAGCCTTTGACGTTCATAAAGAGATGAATCCACAACTATTTACTACACAACCGGCAACACCAATGCTCATTTCAAGCACCAAGAAGAAAAAACTAAATTAAGCAAAGCAAAGGTGTGTTCTTTTTTAAAAAAATTAATTGTGGTAAAATACACATAAAATTTACCATCTAAACCATTTCTAGGTGTACAGTTCAGTTGTGTTAAGTATATTCAAATTGTTGTGCAACCAATCTCTAAAACTATTTCATCCTGAAAAGTGAAAACTCTACGCCCACTTAGCAGAAATTCCCCTTTCCTCCTTCCCCCACACCAGGCGACCACAATTCTACTTTTTGTTTCTATGATTTTGACTACTATGACCTCATATTCATATCTTATATAAGTAAAATCATACCATATTTGTCTTTCTGTGACTAGCTTATTTTACTTAACATAATGTCCTTCAGTTCATCCGTGTCATAGCATGTGTCAGAATTTCCTTCCTTTTCAAGGCTGAAAATATTCCATTGTATACATATACCGCATTTTTTTTTACCCATTCATCCACCGATGGGCATTTGAGTTGCTTCCACCTTTTGATTATTGTGAATAATGCTGCTATGGATGTGAATGTACAAATATCTGAGATCCTGCTTTCAATTCTTTTGGATATGTATCTCAAAGTGAGATTGTTGGATCATATGGTAATTCTATTTTTAATATTTTGGAGAACTGCCTTTTGAGATGCTATTCTTTGATATATGAGTTAGGAGGAGAGATCTGGGCTAGTGATATAAAACTGAGAGTCATTAGAATATGGATGATACACATGTTGGATCAGATTAATATAAGAACATTTAGACTTAAGAAGAGACTTTGCAGTTAAGAGCAAAATGGAGGAGATAAGTTTTTCAGTCTGTATCCACACTGTGGTTCTCAGTTTGAAAGAATACAACTCAATTTTGCCAATTCACAGCAGGATGATCTGATGCTGGGACTGATTTTAGGTAATCAAACCTACAGGAGACCAATGAAAAGAGAGGGCTCAATTGATCATTTAAGAAGATAATGGAAAATGCAAAATTAACAGGAATAATAGAATCCATAGGTCAGCTCATACCCTTAGCAATGGAAAAGTCTACTTGGGAAACTAAATCAACATCAATAACTTGTTTGTTGACTATAAAGTTTTCAAAAAAAGAAAAAAAGAAATGTACGACTGTAAGGACTCTGGCAATCTGATATACCCCAAAGTTCTGCTTGTACAGGATTCTGCCTACCTAGTAGTCAGAAAACACTCGGCTGAGCAGCACACCCTCTTGGATTAATATGGTAAACTAATTCTCTTTGCCCAGCTCTCCATTTTCTAAAATTCATTCCTACCTACCATTATCACCTCTCTTAAAACAATGGTTGCCTTCCTGGGATTCTCAAGGAAAGAAAAGGGGAACTTCCAGTTACTTTAATAATAATTCAAAATCTCTAGTGGAAATTACAGATATGAAAAAGGCCACTTTAACTAACTAAAATGTAATTTTATTCTTTTTTTGTTTATGTTGAGGTAACATTGGTTTATCACATAAATTTCAGGTGTACAGCATTACAATTCGACATTTGTATCCACTACAGTGTGCTCACCACCTAAGGTCTAGTTTCCATTTGTCACCATACAATTGACCTCCTTTGCCCTCCCCCTATTCTCTTCTCCTCTGGTAACCATCAGTCTGTTGTCTGCATCTATGAGTTTGTTTTTGTTTGTTTTGTTTGTTCTTTTAAAAAAAAATTGCACATATGAGTGAAATCATACAATATTTGTCTTTACCCATCTGACTTATAAACTGTAATTTTTGGCAAACATGCACTCATCTTTTAGAAACTCACTTCAGGGTTTAATTCTACCAGGAAGTCTTCTCTGATTTCCCCTTAGGGGCTCATTCTTCATGTTTCCCTAACACTCTCTGGGGGACTCTAACATTATTTTTATGGATTACCTATTTATATGTTTGGCTCCCTTCACTGGACTGTGAGTTTTGTTTTAGTCATCTTTCTATCCCCAATAATAGTTATCATAATGTCTGTCACATAGTGATTGCTCAAAAAATCTTTGTCGATGAATGAAACCTACAGATGACTACCAGAAACCTGACAAATTATGTATGTATTTAATAAAATCATGAAATGAACTAGTACTTAATTAGTATGAAATTTAGTAGACAATACATGGGGTATGTGAGAAAAATAGTAAAAGAGGTTCTTAACAGCAAAATTGGTATCAGAGCTCACTGAATGAAAACATTATCTAGATAAGGAAAATGTCATAAATTAGACCAGTTTATATTAGTCTGATGTTTCAGAGGTCAAGGGAGTCTTGGGCCACTTTTGTCTTTTTGAGATTATCACTATAAAAAAAGTTACAGGATTACAACTGTGGCATATAGTACACGTGTGTATTTCCAAAATTAACAATTTTAACAGAAAAAGAGGCAATAAACACTGTTGTGCTATTTACAAGATAAGTTTTATAAAAATATAAACTATTACTTCAAAGTGCACTACAGATAATGTGGTCTGACAATGAGACATAAGTGTGAAATTCAAAGATGACTAATGAACAGCATCTTTTTTCAATCCTGTTAGCTATCTCTGTGGTTGTACATGTAAACTTCATCATTGGAGATAATATCCAAAGTTTAGATTTCAGTCTTTGTGAAACCTGACCCATGTGGTCTTCCAGGACTTCCCCTTTCCAGGGGTAGGCCCTGACCTGAGTTGCATTTTTTTTCAGAGGCTCATCGAGATTTTAGAAACCCTAGTTTCATTAGAACTGCATTACGACTCATTCTAGGGGTAAGTCATCTTTACAGCTGATGACTCATGTTTTCTGTTGATTTTTATCAGCTTTAACTTTAGAGAGTGACCCCAAATCCTGACAGCATATCCTGTGGGGATCGCCCA